AGACCTTAATTTTTGATCTCCAGTGTATGTTTTGGCACGGAACATATAGGCCAGTTAAAAATTAAGCTGTTTTACCCTTTATTTTTTTTTAATTTCTGGTTCTTCTGTTTCATCCATGCCTAATGAAACTCCCAGATCAGCAAAACTTTCTATAGTTTCAATATCATCCTATAATTCTACTGTGCATCTGTTTTCCGTAGTTTTTGTCTTTTCAGTATTTATTTCTAGTCTGTTTTCTTTTGCTCTGTTTTTAATTCTGAAATATATTTCTTGACCCTTCCGTTCTTTAAGACATAATATTTATGCCATTGGTACAGGCAGCAATCTGTATTGATTTATTTGTTGGGAGATTAGCGACAGAATAGTGTCGATGTCAGCCCGCCTCTTTGCTAGAATTCTTTGACTATTGAAAACTACATTAAATAAAATAAGGAGTGCTAATTAACAACCACAACAAGGTACTGCTAAACCACCCACCTCTCAACGAGATCATAACAAGGATTACAACGAGAACATAACAAGGATTAAGAATATCAAAAAAATAAAACGAAAACTACATGGAGTGTTGTGGTAAAAGGAAACCATGCCATGCAAAACAACAATGTTAAAGACATACTATTAAACACGCTATTGAACATAATGGTTAGGCTCTAAAAACAAGAAAAAATCAAGAAGAGTTCAAAAAAGATATGATAAAATTGTCAAAATTATAAGTTAGCAATAAAAGAGCTCCATTGAGACTTCGAAATGGATCTAAAAGAAATTAAACTAATAGCTTGGAATGCTAATTATCTATTGAAGCATGTGTTTTTGCTGAAGCATAAAGATACCTGCAGATGTACCTAGATCAGCAAAAAATAGACATTTGCCTTATCTCTGAATCTTATTTTACAAATGAAATTTATATAATGCTAAACTAATGCTGTGCATATCACACTATTCATTAAGTAAATGCTGCAAAAGGTAGAAGTGCAAACAATGCAGTGATTATAAAATAAAAAATAAAACACCATAAAGACTTGCAGCAATAAAACGGCTTCTTTTGACGAAAAAGATTTGTTTTCACGTTTGGGGCTTCTGTACAAGTCGCTCTGATGAAATACATATAAGCGAATAATATTCGCTTATATTATTATACAGAGACACTATACGTAAAATCAAATCTTAGCTGTTCTTTCTTTTATATAATCTTAGTTATTTGAGACGTAAAAAGAGTTATGAGGAAAATAATTATCTACCCAGTGCGTCACTGGTTAGAAACGTTACGCAAATGAATATGATATCAAGCAAACAGGGAAAATATACCCACTCAGTGTAGACTACAATAATGTTATTTAAATGTTTTCTGAAGTTTAAAGAAAACTATAGAACAAGAGATTTGAAAAAAAGATACATGAATAAATTTTCATTCTAAGAACTATTTTTATAACCTGCTAGCTAATTTAACATCTACATTTATTTTTATATACCAAGCAGAATTAGATAGTTAGGTGTTTCTTCATGATTATTTTATAAAGGAATGTTATCTATTTGGAAATTATCCAGGTGTTACACATTATTTACATCTTTTCAAACAAATGGTTTATATATAAAAATTTAGGAATATAAACCTATGAGAGCTAAGTACAAAGTACTTGATAAAGATACGTTGAAAATAATGAAAAATCAGTTACTTACATGTACAGCATTTATTGACTATTTTGGTGGAAGAAGCATTTTTTTCTTGATATTATTGGTATATTATTCACTATAAAAATTAGAAATAACCATAAATCTAAAAAACTTCAAAACTGTACACAGAAGTTATTTTTTTAATAGAAAATGAGCTGCATTCACCAAAAAGGTTATTAGCGACGGAACCAAATATAAATAACAAAATTGAATAACGACAGATTATAGAAAGGTTTATAGATCTTAAATATTTAATTATATTATCATAGGAATACTCCTGGCCCATTTAGTAAATTTATTTAATAAAAAATTTATTAAAAAGTGTTCAACTGTTAATCTAACGTTACACTGATCACTAGACTTAGGCAAATAAAAAGTATGAAATATGCGCATAAATATGCAGCATTTTATGCAAAAATATGCAGTATTTTATGCAAAATATGCATATTTATCCAGAAAATATGCATGGTAACAATAGATTATCAAATGATGTTCAAAATTTTTTAATAAATACTTATGGCTTTTATCTGAATACATGTATTTGTAAATAGAAAAACATCAACTGATGCAACTAAGGCATTTTTTAAATTTACTATCATAGATGATTCTAGTACTTAAAGCACTTCAGAAAGAACCTAGTAACCACTATTTTTTTGCATGGTTACCTTAAATTTTTGAAAAATTTCCTTTTTTAAACGTTTTGACACAATGACTCAAATTCTTTTATTAAAACTTTACTCTCTAACAATGATAATGTGGAGGATTCTAATTGAGTTATAGTTTTCTGGACAAAACTATAATTTGATTTTATGAATGACAGTATGTTGGAGGATGTTATTTTGGAAGGCTTGCTTAGCTTCCAATAAGGATTGGTAACTATCATCTGTTAAGAGGTTAATTATTTTTTGAAAATCAACAAAATGATCAGCATAGAAATTAGGTGCTTCCAACCATGTTCCCCAACGTGTTCAAATGGGTTGCGGTGGCAGTGGAAGAGCAGGAAGCATATCTCTGTAACATTGTATTCTTACAGGTGATTTCAGGAATACCTTTTTGACGCTCGCTATTCTGTTAACTGTTAACTAGTGGACATTTTTTTTTATACTTCCTCCGCAACTCTGTTTATTCCATACGCTAAACAAGTAACACGTATTAAGTTTGGATAAAATATTTTTAAATTTTGTCCTGCTTTCACCATATATGGTGCGGTATCAGATAAAATAAGTAATAATTTATCATTAGGCACAGCAGCAGAAAGAAAAAAGTTTGCTAATGGTTCTTGTAGAAACCGTGATATTGTTAGGGCGGTTGTTTTTTCCACTTGCTTACAGGAAACTAAATACGACTTTCATTCATTCAGGAAAGGTTTCATCGCTAAGTACACCAATCAATAAGTGCACAATGTATCTTCCTGATGAGTTAGTGGTCTCGTCCATACATATGTAAAAGTAATTATTACCTATTTCGGCTTTTATATTGTCGATAACTGAGATGGAAACTGGAATGTTTTGGTTGCAATATTTTTTTAAAAGAGAAATAAAGTTTTCATTAGATAATTTTGAAAACGGTATATTAGAAGATACTAATGCCCGACACAAATCTTCGTTAAAAGTTTCTTGTTCGTTTTGTTTTTTGGAACTTGACTAAAAGCACTTTTACACTGAAGGTTGATATTTTTCACCGGATGTGAACTTACTTTTTTAGCTAAATGTTTCGCGGTTCTGACATGTTGATGTATTTGAATTTTTTTTTCAGATAAAATCTAAAAAAGAATATAAATATTCTATACATAGTTGTACCCATTTTTAAAATCTAATATTGTAGAAATAAACTAAAAATGAACCGTTTTTGCATAAACATTAAAATATTAACATTAAATCAAATAAAAATCGGTATAGTAATCTTGAATATGTCAAACAATGACTGTGCAAGAAGGAAGAACCCCCAAATTTTTTCAAGAGGCTTTTGGTCTCTTCTGTTTACATTTAAAGAAAAAAAAAATGTGAGCGTAAATTAAAAGCACTTAAGTCCAATATATGAAATGTTTTTGTTTTTAGCAAACGTAAAGCAAACTATGCTATTGTTAGAAAAAAAAATGTTAGCGACCTTTTAGTAGACTATTGAATGATTTGAATTTTAAATAGGTATCCTATTTTTTAACGCAAGAAGTTTAAAAAATGCTTAAAAAAAGAAAAAATACATCGATTTATTGCGAACTATCCTTAAGTCTGTACTTTTCTTAAACATAATCTCCAATTTAAAAATCTTTGTTTGTACCATCGTGTAAATTTTTACATTAAAATAAAAAATAATAAGTATGCACTTACGGTTTTGCTAAAATATGAGCATTATATAAAATTTATCCATATCCATAGATAGCTCTTTGTAGGGTTTTATCCAAGTTGAAACATTGCTTATTTTTGGCAATTTCAAAGCACAATAATTATTCACAATTAGAAATACACGTTGTTTATGCCACCAATTCTACAACAAAAATGAAACCAAGTGAAACTGACCGTCAAAAAAAAATGTTAAGTTAGAGACATAAACAGGTTTACACAAACCCATAATTCCAGGACAAAACGTAACAAAACTATAAGCCCCTTGTTTTTAATAGTTACTATACCGAGAATTTGAATACCAAGCCATTATAAAACAAAATTAAATATTGTCATTTTCATGCTATCTGTAAGTTTGAATATAAAAATATATAGTTAACACCAAATTATCAAATTATATGCACTTTATGCTTTCTTTTATGAAAAAATGCAAAATTTTACATTTTTGCATCTTTTATGCATTATATGCAAAATATGCAATTTGCATATTTGCCTAAGTCTAGTTATGACTTTTATCTAAACACAACTAGTTCTAAATTATATGCACTTTATGCTTTCTTTTATAAAAATATGCAAAATTAGACATTTTTGCATTTTTTATGCATTATATGCAAAATATGCAATTTGCATATTTGCCTAAGTCTAGTTATGACTTTTATCTAAACACAACTAGTTCTAACTTATATGCACTTTATGCTTTCTTTTATAAAAATATGCAAAATTTGACATTTTTTGCATTTTTTATGCATTATATGCAAAATATGCAATTTGCATATTTGCCTAAGTATAGTTATGACTTTTATCTAAACACAACTAGTTCTAACTTATATGCACTTTATGCTTTCTTTTATAAAAATATGCAAAATTTGACATTTTTGCATTTTTTATGCATTATATGCAAAATATGCAATTTGCATATTTGCCTAAGTCTAGTTATGACTTTTATCTAAACACAACTAGTTCTAAATTATACATTGTTTTCATTTCTAGGTTCACGTAACGTATACATACGACCGCATTGTACCGTACGTGGGGCATAAGAGGCTGACGGTAGTTACTGCCCCTCCCAAAGTATGGGGCACGCGACCAAGTGTCCTTCAGCGCGAATTCGACCGTATCGAGAACAAAATCCGACCTTGGACCGGTTACTCCGCGACTAATCGCTACCTCAACTCCAACTCCGCTGTGGTAAGAGACAAAGATAGCTGTAGATCGCAATTTATTGCTTTTTTCAGAATTATATGACTATTTGATTTCACACCATATGTTTAAATATCTATGCAATAACGAAATACTAGAGTTAACGTAATATATTTTCAAAAAATCAAGAAATAAAGTGACACATGTATTGGTTTAGAAGCCTCTGCCTAGTTTGTGCTGTATTGGGTTTGGATAGGTCGAGCTTTCGACTAATTTCACATCGTCAAAACTGTCAATTATAGTTTGAAAAAATATTATCCTTATTACATGCATAACATTAAATAAACTTTTACTTTTTCCATGCTATATATCGCTTAATCAAATAGTCCAATATATTCGAAAAGTAATAAGTTGTCTTTAACAATTTTTAAGGAAAATCGACTTAAATTAATTAAAGACCATTTATAATCACAAACATTACCTAAGTACTACCATAAATTCATTCACGTATGTTAGTTCTATTTTCCTTAAAAATATTTTGGTTATTTGGTCGCAAAATCTTTAAATATTATATAGAAAACGTTATCTATGCACTACAAGAAAAGTAAATATGTACCTACAAACAAAAATATTAAATTAATTTAAATAATTAATATAATAATGAAAATTTTGTAATTTTTATAAATAATATAAAAAACTGATGGAAGATGTACACACTCGATAAAAATGTTATCACAAAAGAACTTGTATAACAAATCCCCCAAAATCTATTTAAAAATTAGTAAGAGTTATTTCGGTGGTAGTTTAGAGTAGTTGGCTGGCATTACTCAAGGTTTATATAGAAAAAAAAAAAAGAGAAAATGTCAATAAAACTACACTTTTAGCCAAGAAATCTACTGATTAAAAAATTTTATATCTAGCTTTGAAATAGAAAAGGATTCTTTAAAAGTAAAAACTACAATTTTAGGTAGAGGGATAAAGCTTACCAACATAGTCCACTGCCAATCTAATGGATCACTCTAACTTGATAATAAAGCATATAACACGGAAGCATTAAGATTGAATCTATTAATTACATTTTGAAATGTTCTCGTATTCGATTATTATTTTACTCACCTAATATCTATACAGTGTCTACTAGTTTTTACCTTTCAAAAGTCATTGTTGATTGTTGTAAAATAAGTAAAATTTCAAATGTCAAATGATAAAACTGAATTGTCAATTTACGATGCATACCATCATAAATAGAGTGCCCATCGTACAGAGTGATATTTTACATAAAAACCTGGTCAAAACAAAAATTTCAAAAAAAAATTTGACAGCTGTCAGTTTCTAACACAGGGGTTACTAGAGAACAAGGTTTTTGTCTGTGCCGATCCAGACTCGCACACATTCACACTCAAACACATTCACACACACACAACACTCACACTAGCATGGCAGTGAAAGGACTGAAAGGAGCCCTCTTTCTGCTACCGAAGCATACTCGTCGCTGGGAATCCCGGCCGATAACAGAGCCCCGTGCATGATACGGGATCTGATGTCGGATGATCAACGAAATTATAGCGTCCATCACTGTCAGGCTGCCTTTCGAAAGCTGACGAGACCTGGCCGTTAATGACAACACTCAATAACAAAACTTTAGTGCAATACATTTGTTTTGAAGTTAGGTGTAGACGTAAAAACGGCTACAATACCAATAGTAACTAGAGACACAACTCTGTCACACTTAGTTCAAAACACACACACACACACACACACACTTCTTGCTGGAAAAAAGACCACATCCAGACAAGCCTCTCGTCCCTGATTCAGATAGTGACTACATCTTAACGGCCTCCAAGATGCTCCACCACAAAATACCGCCACCCCAGTTGAGTTTTTCGGTCTGTTTTGCTTTTGTCGATTACAAAAACACATTTAACTCTAGTTAAACCGTTTGTTCCGACTGTTAGACCATTGTCCTTTGAGATTATTTCTCCACGTTTCGCCAACACTATTGGTTGGTATCTTCTGGAGAGGTTACTGCTTCGCTTTTAAGCTGGAACTGAAAGTCAGTTACACAAAGCAACATTTTTCACTTTTCACAAAATTAAATGCAAACGAAAATACTGTGAGAAGTACAAGCTGATTTATGAATCCAAATATACAAAAATATTTGAAAAAAATAGCACTTATGTTTTTTGGCGTGCATTTTAAATCTAAAATACCTGGTGAACCTTCTAGCTCTTCCGTTTATACAGAAAGTAGGCATTATATTGATTAATTTTAAACGTTCTTTAATTGTTTTTTTATTTTTCATTGAAATGATTTTTTTTTGATTTTTATTATTCTTGAATTCGCATTTATTCCTATGTTTACAATTAAAGGGCTGCTATTTATATAGGTATCGGGGAAAGGCACCAAATTTGAGACACTTTTTTTGAAAAGCAAATATAAAACAGAATATTCAAAAGTTTTTAAAACATTTGTTTCGAAAACTTAAATTTAATGTATCTAGAACCCAACAAATAAAAAGCGAATAAAACATATATTTTTGCAAAAAAATACATTTAATTTTTTTTGCGACATTTAATATTAAAAATAAAATGTACCCTAATTTGGTATAGCCAGGTATCTAAACTTAAGACAGGTACCTTAATTTGAGATACTATCAAAAAAAGCCCTTTCCTTCGCACATTTAAGTCAAATAAATGTGCTGGACTTTATTTCTCCACAATGGAAAGTCTTCACTGCTATCTGAGCTTGAACTCAAAGAAACTTTCCGATTCCTTCTTGATGTTTTGCCTTTTGATGTAGAAAGTTGGCCTACGTCGTCATCTGCTATTTCTTCTTCGGGCGTTACTGTTTTTTTTATGTAACACCTTTTGTTGAACTGTTTTTTTTCTGGAGCAAATACACAATCCAAAGAGTAATTATTGAGGCCTCTCATGATCTGGCATGTGGTTTTTTAGTGGCATCTCTCTTGTAGAATGTAGGGATTGGACATATGTCTTTCGGAGAAAAAAGTTGTTGATGAGGTAGTGGTGGACTAGGAGTTCTATGTGCTTGTATTGGATGATTTGGTTTTCATGGTTTGGTTCTATTATTTGTTCGTCCTTTTCGGTTTGTGTTTCTAAGTGCTCTTGAATTCAAAATTCAAAGTCCCTAAAAATATGGCGTCAAATAGCGACCAGTCCAGTTTTTCGGAAACCCTTGCAAGATATTTCCATCGTTGCAGCTTTGTTATACGCTTTACAAAAAAGACTAACAACAGCATGAGGGGACACAACACTCAACTGATTTTCTCTAAGCCAGTTTTCTATTTCTTGTGCATAGTAAGTTTTCAGCAGTGCCATAAAAGTAAAATCCAATGGTTGCATTTTATGTGTAGAATGTGGTGGGAGGCAAATAATTGTCACATGATTCTGTTTGGCCAAATCTCTTAGAGCAACGTTTCTCGTATGAGAATAGTGACCATCATGGACGAGAAGAACAGAGCCAGGGAAGAACCTGACAAATGGCATTCTGCAATTGTTCCAATGGGAGCTCCTAGCATCAACTCTGTTTTCATATTTTTTCTAGGGAAGATTAATAATGATGGTACGAAAACTCCGCAGCATTCATATATGCATAATAGCAGTAATCAGCTTGCCTCTTTCTGCTGTAGTAAGTGACGAAACCTGCTTCTTCCCTCTCATGGAAATTACTTTGCTATGTTTGTGCTGAACAATTGTAAGACCCGTTTCGTCTACATTCTCTGACATTCATGTCAACATTGACTGCTACATATCTTTTTAAGGTAACAATTAACATCGTTTCCATGATTGTGTGGTTCTCATATTGTAAAATTTTTTAGATGAACTGATGATGCTTTCAAAACTCGAAAGCGAAACGTCTTCAAAATAGATAAAGTAGCCTATCAACTTTGTCTTTTATTTCTCCACCTAGAGACCGATATAAGAACCCACCACTCGTCTGAGTGATCCTTATATATATATATATATATATATATATATATATATATATATATATATATATATATACTTATATATAAATAATAATGATTTTTGGATATGTCTAGCAAAGTGAGAAGATTTAAATGATGGGGAACTGGAAAATTAAATGGAAGATGTAGGTGTTTGAAAAAAAACTTACCAGAATCTTTCTAGGGATTTTTTTCCATAAAACAATACGACTTCTTAAAAATTTCACCAAACTAAATAATTTCTAACTAACAGAACCAAAACTCCTTACAATTTTCAAACCAAAATAAAAAAATAACTTAAATTGTCTTCTAGTTTCCCTAAGATCCTGCCTGCCGTAATAAAATTATCAACTTCCCAAGTTTGGTTCTAAAATGAATCAGGAGAATATGGCCGATGGCCAATATTCATTTTCCCTATACAAGGTAATCGATTATCTTATCGATATCGATGTTCGAAAGTCATAAAAATGAACTATTAGAGATCGTATTGTTGGTTGCATACCCCAACGGCGGCAAATTAGATTAGATTAGAACTAACGATCGTATCGTTACAATTTCTTTCCGGCTGATTTTTTGACTCTGCTAAATGGATGTGGTATTGAGTTACGTATTGCAAGTTGAAATCCCAGTCGTTTTATATCACGCGCTCTTAGTCCGAAATAACGTTGCTCCATAATAAGGGCATACTCAACCAACTCATTTTCTAATTCCAAAGGAAGAATAGGTCGGCGGCCAATTGATATCCCGACGAGTTCTTCTGGATCTTGTCTGATTTCACATATCGTTCTAAGGTACCTTTTGGTACTTCAAAAACCTTTGAGGCCTTTAAGTAGCCCATATCTCTATTTCTTACTGTATTTACAGCACGTATCATATCATCTGCGTTCCATTTTATATTTTTTGGCGGCAAGTACAAACAAAAATGTCACACTATCGTACACAAATATACGACGGTGTTTCAAATTAGGCGCCTGTCTCGAATTCGGTGCCTTTCCTCTATATTGAATTAAAATTTCATATCTGAAAATCATTCTTTTAGGCTTTAGTAATAAAACTTACTTCAAAATGTAATAATTAATAT